TCGGCCATGGAAACAACACAACTCAACTATTGAACGAAAATACATACTATTACTTTCCTTTGGCGATCTCATGCACGATCGACAATCCCCTCGTGTGATTTTTTAATTTCAATTTCATATTCGTTTCCATTTACACTTACCATTGGCCTTATTAATTTCCTTATGGAAAACTATTATTCTATATTGCTATAATCTTCGTAACCTTGCGATTAAACGGCTGAATTAATAGTAGTTAACTCTCGAAAGTCCACAAAATGGCGCTAGAAAAAGGACGGTCATCAAGGATTACATCTGAACCTCTTCCTATAAATAGTCGTACTCTATGCAGACTTATTCTCAACCCAAAACAACACCTCATGCCTCTTATGGAGCATCCGATATTCAGGCCAAAAAGAATTGCGGCACAGTCGACCCTCCTATAATCTCTTTTCATTCCGTTACTTTGCCTAAATATAAAGCTTCAAAAACTTTCCAGATACCACCTTTTTGCTTCCCCTCACCATAAATTTTTTTTATTTATGACCCTTTATCAATCTCCATATTAGCCCACCTTAATAAAAATACAGACCGATTAACTCACTCTCGACAAGAACACGACATATGAGAGACTTTTAGTTCAAGAGTATAAATGACTTTCAACTAGTCGAGGGCCTAAGGATGACTCTGACAAGAATATCTCATATGATTTCTTCTTAGATCTTGTCCTTAAGTCTTGAAAACTTCAACTTAACGATCAACCTCACTACAAAAAAATTGTTATATTACAACGATAAATTCTACGATAATATATTCCAACGGATATTTCAATAGTATAGCTTCCGTTGGAATGATTCCAACGGAAATTACAACAAAAATATTGCGTTGGAATGATTTTCCATTGAATTTTAGATGGAATTTGATGATTCCAACAGCTATTTTTCCAATGGTCTTTTACCGTAGAAATTTCTGTTGGAATATGCAATTTCCGTTAGAATTTTTATTTTCACCTCTGTAGGAAAATCTACCGTTGAAATCGTCAAAATCCAACGAAAATTCCAATGAAAAATTTATTCCAACGGAATATTTTTGTTGGAATTTCCGTTGGAATTCCAGTAAAATATATTTGTATTGTAACCTTCCGTTTAAATTTCATCATTTTGTTGTAGTGTCTGTTTAGTAGGGCGACTACTCTCTTATTATCTATCATGACCGTTTGACGTTCAAATTACAAAGATGGGTTGATACTAAAGATTCGGGGGCCAGGCCAGTCACGTCCCGAGGAAGGGTCGAGATCAACCATCAAGGTCATTCGAGACCACAAGTCGCCTCTGTTAATTAATGAAGATCGCTAAATCGGCATAAATAGAGCTTGATTTGTGCAAAGATGCTCTGGAAAAGACAAATAGATGTACTGCCAAAGTATCTACCTACGAAGAAAGGATCAACGAAGGATGACGTGTCGAAAAGCGGACATCGATGATAATAGAAGAGAGGCCCAAGGAATGTCCCAAAAAAGAACACAAATCTCCAACTCGGGGATAGAAATAGACATGTTTAGTTGTATGTTCATGTATCACACAAGAATAAAATCATATGAATTTTCGTAGGTATCTCAAAGATATATTCATAGTATATTTGGTTAAGTACTTTTATCTTGTAAAAAAAGGATCAAAGTTAAAATCCCGTAACAATTCATGACAGTCTCTCGTTTAAAGATGACCTCAAAAGATGTGCTGGGGATTGAACGATCTACAATGGAGAAGCCCGCATCGACGTCGGTCGTGAATCCACAAACAAAGTGCTCAAGATGCCGAATAACATCTCCGTCCCCGTCGCTTATTACCATCAAGCATCCAACGTTGGCCGCCCTTGAAGAGATCCCTCAATGTATTGGGATTATATTTTATGCTTATAGAGTCAGTTTCTCTCGTTTATTAAATTTTCAAGTATTTTAAATTCATATAATTTAATAAGTTTGAGTATTAACTTACGCAGAGATGTATTTTTTGAACTTTATGTAAGATAAAATTATTTTATTATATTTAGTTATGATATTCCTTTATATATATATTATTTTAAACAACATAATAACATTCGGTTCCTTATATAATCTATTTAAATCAAGAAATAATAAAATTTATTTTATATAATACTAAATTCCCATGTTTTGCCCAAAATCTCTGGAAAAAATACATTAAAGTGATTATTTAATGGTGTATTGATGAATTAGATTTTTATTATTTTTATAAAATAATTTATATTGTTATTTGATATTTTTAAATTATATGATATTAAAATTAGTTTTATTTATAAAGATAGAGGGAATTATTATATATTGTATATAGTAATATGGATGTCAAATCGAGGATTGCTAAAATATGATTATTTTGATGTATTTTATATAAAGAATAAAATACAAATAAAAAAGTTATACAGTTTCAAAAATAAAAGAATGCATATTTATAATAATTAATATGTAAATTAAATAAGAAAATGTAAGAGTAGTATATGGTAACTTAGTAGAAAGAAAAATGAAAATAGTTTATAGTAATTCTCAAGCCTCATAGTCAAAATCAAACTTGTACATTGTCAATATGAAGCATAAATTTATGTTAAATAAGCTTACGAAGCATACAAGCATGTCACTTAAGACGTATTCGAGAATTATATATAAGGGTGATAGGTGCTTTTAATATTTTAGTTAGATATATTTTATTTAATTTTGCATAACTTAAATTTAATGTATCATTTTTATTAAACTACTATAGATAAATTGTATGGTATATTAACACATATTTTTATTTTATAATTATTATACAATATTAATTGATGTTTAGCACAAATTTGTTTTACTAGTATATATGAATCCTATCACTACTAGTTAATGATAAATAAATATGGGGCTGCTGCAGCCAAATGTTGACCTTATTCATTTCGTTAACCCCAATTCAATTCAAGCATTCATTCCACCTTTTTATTTATTTAACGCGTCATTACTTCTAAAAAAAGCGATAAATCACAGACGTTCGTCGAGCACGCGCTCTAGCAATTGCCGCGCGGAGTAGTTGCCCTAACGTCGTCGTTTTGTACCATCTGTTTTGTCAAATACACACCAAACTTTTGTACAATTCGTCAATTCCTTCATCGGCTCTGTCGTCTTACCTGCTCCAATTTTTTCCTCTCTCTAAAGAGGCCAGTTTGCTCACGCTTGGTATTGAGTTTTACAGCTCTTTCAAGGTATTGATCTTTGTCTTTCTCTCGGAATTTATGAATTTACGGGTACATTTGCGATTTGATTTGTTGTTGTGATGATTGATATGATCCTAATAGTTGGTTTGCTGTGGTTAACAAACATGGTTTTGATGTGTTGTTATTTTAGTGAATGGTCTGAATTTTATCTTGAATTGTGTATGGTTTTAATTTCACCCACCCTATTTCTTTGTACGTACCATTTTACCTGTGATACTTTACCTTCTGAAGTAGGTTTCCTTGTGCTGTTTCCTTGTAATTAATATGATAGGTGGAGTGGTTTGACTTGTATGGAAAATGAGATGCAAGCTAAAAATGATAAAAACTGTAGGATTTTTGGATTGAATTTTGGGGTCTGCCCAGATTTGATGCTATGATTTTGGATCAGCTAATGGGGAGGATTGTAGCTAGAAATGTATTGTAATCAACTTGTTTATTTGCATTTGGTAGAAGAAAGATGTGATTTTAATCAAGTCTGTTGGGTTTTAATTGAATCAAATTTATGGGGTTTCGTTTCGTGAAATCTTTCAGAACTTTGTTGATAACTTTTGTAGGTCAATTTTTTTTATCATTATGAACTACGAAATCTTCATTTCTTTTTGTTTTAGTTGAGCAACTGCAATTAGGTTACAATGTGATTTTCTGAATCTCAAGTTTCTTCAGTAGTATATCATCAATTGATGCAGGATATCTTTAAGATTTTTTTTTTTATTTTTTTTTTTCGTCCTCAAAATGATGCTGCATATTTTTAGAGGTCTGCATGACACGGACTTTAACGTGTTGTGTGTTTAAACCTTACAGCCTTGATTTTGAATTCCTTCCATTCTTGTGCAGGAAACAGATTTTCACGCTTTTTATAATGGATTTTATGTTCGGAAATATCAATGGAGGATCTTCTCAAATTAACCAGGACATCGTTAGGTGCCCATTTTTGAGGAATATCAATCAACCAACTAACTTTTCATTCTTAACATCAATGGCTGTCCCCATGCCTGTAGGTTTTCGCACCTCCTCTTTTCCTATCTCTGTTTCTACTCATGAACTGTGACCTTTATTGTGTATTTAAGTTATCCATTATGAAAAAAAAAAAAATGAATGAAAATACCAGGCAAGTTCGAACTTGAAACCTGAATATTAACGTACCATTCAGAATTAGCAATGCCCCATGATATTTGTTTCTGTTTTACAACTAATGGGGGATTTAAGAAGGTAATACAAAGTTCAAGGGGGACATTTGTAAATTTGGAAGGGATAATTGGATTTTTTTTAGACTTAACCTAAATGCTAATGTTTAAAATCTCAACGCCTATTTGCTCCTATTAGGTACAGAACGGGAAAGGCCCTATATTTGAGGATGGTCCCAATTTTGATGCAGCATTCAAGCTCTTCCATGGTCAAAATGGCGTGGTCCCACTTTCTGGAAAGTCTATTAACAACGAAATGTCTTTGCCTGAACCACCACTGGCTCAAACTCAATTCAATCCGCTGGCGGCAAAAGCAGCCACCATTAGCCTATCTGGTTTTGGCTCCAGTGGGCCTTTCGGGTTTGATAGTTTCCTTGGAAAATGGAAGAAAAACAAGGGCTCAAAGTCCTCCAAAAGTGAATCTTCTTCAAAGGTAGTTGTTGTTGACATAATTTGTTTCGGCTTTCCTCTTCAGCACATTGGGCATCTTACATTTACACTCCTAGTAATCAAATTTTGTCATGAAATCAATGAGTGGACATTAGTACATTACTAGTTTGTTTTCCTTTAGATTCTGAAATAGCTTTAGAGGTTTATCTTCTTTCCTTTTTCCTTTTTTTTTTTGTTGGATTTTGGAATCATGGTCACACATTCTTGATGCTATACTTGAAAGGTTATGACTGAAGCAAATGCAACAAAACAATTTTTTTACACAACAATCTTTCCTTTTCTCTTTTACTACTGCAAAATCTCAACGTGCTATACTACAGACCCCCTCTGAGGTTTATATTTCATGACAATTCCCTCTACTCGAGTTTGTAATTTTTAGAAAAAAAAATAAAAACAAAAATTTAACTCGATATTCATATTCTATACGATATCTTCAAAATGTATTCCTTGAAGTTTGACCAAATTACAAAAAAGGAAAAAGAAAGAACGAATCTAATTTCCAAAATTAGTAAAGATTGTAATATTCAGATCTCTCGGGTACTTCTCATAACCAACCCAAATTTACACGATGAACTTTAGTTTGATAAACCCGTACAATCGAATAATCTCTTACACTTCCCTTTGTGCTCACAGGGAGGAAAATCCCAACACGAAGCAATGAGCGACCAGTGGCTGCAAAACGGCAACTGCCCCATTGCCAAATCCTATCGAGCAGTCGGAAAAGTCCTCCCTCTCGTTGCAAAAGCCCTTCAGCCACCTCCAGGCATGAAGTTCCATTGCCCCCCTGCAGTTGTTGCTGCCCGAGCTGCCCTTGCTAAAACCGCATTCGCCAAGAACCTCCGACCACAGCCCCTCCCTGCAAAAATACTCGTAATTGGCGTTTTAGGCATGGCGGCAAACATACCTTTGGGCATTTGGAGGGAGCACACGGAAAAATTTTCGCTATCATGGTTTGCTGCAGTTCATGCAGCAGTGCCCTTCATAGCTATGCTTAGAAAATCGGTCCTCATGCCTAAGACAGCTATGGCTTTTACTATTGCAGCTTCGGTTTTGGGACAGGTGATTGGGTCACGGGCAGAGAGGTACCGCCTGAAAATGGGTACGGCTAAGGATAGGGAAATTGGTGGTGGGCTTTGCAGGGAGGTTGCTGTTTTGGGCCTCGAGGGTGTGCAGGTTCGGGCTGGGTCATCGTCGTCTGCTGACGTGTTCGGATGAGGCTGTGGTGTGGGCCCATGTGTTTTTTAAAAATCTATTTCTTAATTTCTATTTTTCTTTTGGCTTTGCATTGGTGGACCTAGCCATGATTGGTTTGGTGCAGAATAAATGTGTTTTGAATGAAATTTGGTGTGTTGTACTATTATTGTAGTGTAGTACTCGAGATGGGAGATTATCTTTTTATAAGTGATGGTGTGTTATTTTGTTCTGTTTGAAGGACGTGGCAATGATAATAAATCGTATAAATTAAAGTAATGAATGAATATTGATTAGTATATAAAAATTTTTGAATATTAATTCAACTTTTATCTTTTATTTTATTTTTATGATATACAATAGCTTACTGTATGATTTATATACAAAAGCTGTGATTTAGACCCACGAGGAACTGCATCAATTTTGTATATACATCATTCTGTGACTTTGTATCCACATCATTCTGTGCACATTTTACCCATCCTCATAGCTACATGCTTGTATTGGCACAATTTGGGCATATTCATCCAATAATTTCTTCATTTCATTGAAGTAATCCATCACTGTACTATCACCCTGTGTTAAAGTACTAATGCAGTTTTGTTGCAGATCCTGAGGCATTAAATGCATTCTTGGTTTTGTGGGAGAAGATCAAATTCAGTGAATGTCACATGTTTTTAGCTCAAAAATATCTCAAATGAGAACGAACAAATCGTGCCCTATTTATAATTTATACACATGCAGAATTAAATGAACGAGAAAGACAAAACGACATAGTCTAAGCATAATAAATAAAGAGCGTCGTCTGATCATAGGAAATAAAAGATTTGACATAAAAGCGCAACTCTAATAGAAATGATCACCCGACTTGAATGAACAGAGACAATTATAATTAACTATAATAGAAATGATCACCCGACTTGAATGAACAGAGACAATTATAATTAACTAATATGCAACATGATGTACATCCAATTTTACTCACCGACTAATTTAGGGGGGCACTCGAGTGCCCCAATTTACGAATTTTACACACTGACTAGGCCCTAGTGAGCGCCTATTATACAAATCTCAACTACTTTAGAACTTAATTATACAATCTCAACTAGAGCTTTGCAGTTAGTTTCTCTAAA